GCTTCACAGGAGAGTTTTACCAAACATTCAAGGAAGAACTAAAACCTATCCTCCTCAGACTATTCCAAAAAATCCAAGAGGAAGGAACACTTCCAAACTCCTTCTATGAAGCCAGCATCACCCTAATACCAAAACCAGATAAAGACAACTCAATGATAGAGAATTACAGGCCAATATCCCTCATGAACATAGATGCCAAAATCCTCAACAAAATTCTAGGAAATCGGCTACAGCAGAGCATCACAAAGATCATACACCATGACCAAGTAGGATTTATTCCAGGAATGCAACGTTGGTACAATATCTGCAAATCAATAAACGTGATACATCACATAAACAAATGAAAGATAAAAATCATAAAGTCATATCAATTGATGCAGAAAAAGTATTTGATAAAATTCAACACCCTTTCCTGATAAAAACTCTTAACAAGGTGGGAATACAAGGATCATACCTCAACATAATAAAAGCTATATATAATAAACCCACAACCAACATTATACTCAATGGGCAAAAACTAAAACCATTCCCTCTAAGAACAGGAACAAGACAGGGATGCCCACTCTCGCCACTCCTGTTTGACATAGTACTGGAAGTACTGTCCATTGCAATTAGACAAGAGGAGGAAATAAAAGGCATCCAAATTGGAAAAGAAGAAGTAAAGTTATCCTTATTTGCAGATGACACGATATTGTACATGAAAGACTCAATTAAAAAACTAATTGACTTAATAAATCAATTTGGCAATGTAGCAGGATACAAAATTAATGCCAAGAAATCCATGGCATTTTTATACACCAACAGTGAAACTACAGAAACAGAGACTAAAAAAGCAATTCCATTTACCATCACGCCAAAAAAATTAAGATACCTAGGAATAAATTTAAGGAAATAAAGGACCTATTTGCGGAAAACTACACGACACTGAAAAAAGAGATAGAGGAAGATGTAAGGAGATGGAAAAACATACTATGTTCATCGATTGGTAGAATCAACATCATCAAAATGTCCATACTTCATAAAGCAATCTATAGGTTCAATGCACTCCCCATTAAAATACCGACATATTTCACTGACCTAGAAAGAACTCTCCAAAAGTTCATTTGGAACAATAAAAGACCCTGAATAGCCACAGCAATCCTGAGAAAGAAGAGTAAAGTAGGAGGGACCTCAGTACCAGACTTCAAACTATATTACAAAGCCACTTTTCTCTGAACAGCCTGGTACTGGCACAAGAATAGATATAGATCAATGGAATCGAATCGAGAACCCAGATATCAACCCAAATCACTATGCTCAATTAATATTTGATAAAGGAGGCACGAATATACAATGGAGTCAAGACAGTTTCTTCAATAAATGGTGTTGGGAAAATTGGACAAATACATGCAAAAGAATGAAACTAGATCACCAACTTACACCATTCACAAAAATAAACTCAAAATGGATACAGATCGGAACATCATAAAAATGGATACAGACGGGAACATCGTTAAACATCAGACGGGAAACCATAAAAATACTAGAAGCATCCATAAGCAACAAAATCTCAGATGTATGCCAAAAGAACTTCTTCACTGATACTGCCCCTAGGGCAATGGAAGCTAAAGAGAAAATAAACAAATGGGACTACATCAAAATAAAAAGCATTTTTACAGCAAAAGAAACCATCAACAAAACAACAAGAAAGCCCACGGTGTGGGAGAACATATTTGCAAATAATACCACTGATAAAGGTTTAATCTCCAACATTTACAGACAGCTTATACAACTAAATAAAAGGAAGATGAATGATCCAGTTAAAAAATGGGCAATGGCCCTAAATAGAATCTTTTCAAAAGAAGACAGAAGGAAGGCCAAAAGGCACATGAAAACATGCTCAAAGTTACTAATTATCCGAGAGGTGCAAATCAAAACAACAATGCGGTACCATCTCACACCTGTCAGAATGGCCAACATCAAGAAATCAACGAACGACAAGTGTTGGCGAGGTTGCGGAGAAAAATGAACCCTCGTGCACTGCTGGTGGGAATGCAGACTGGTGCAACCACTGTGGAGAACAGTGTGGAGTTTTCTCAAAAAACTGAAAATGGAACTCCCATTTGACCCAGTAATCCCACTTCTAGGAATATATCCCAAGAAACTAGAAACACCAATCAGAAAGGATATATGCACCCCTATGTTCATAGCAGCACAATCTACAATAGCCAGAATCTGGAAACAGCCTAGGTGCCTGTCAGCTGATGATTGGATCCAAAAACTTTGGTACATCTACACAATGGAATACTATGCTGCCATAAAAAAAAAATAAGGAATTCTCATCATTTGCAGCAACCTGGATGGAATTGGAGAACATCATGCTGAGTGAAATAAGCCAATCAATGAAAGAGAAACACCACATGACGTCACTCATTTGTGGATGATAAAGAACATTATAAACTGATGAACCAAGAGACAGATATAGAGACAGTAAAGCAACAGGCAGACTATCAAATTACAGTGGGGAGGGGAGGAAGATCTGGGGGAGATAATAGATCAACCGAAGGACTTGTGTACATGCATATAAGTATAACCAATGGACATTGAACTCTGGGGAGGGAGGGTATGTATTGAAGGGAGGAAGGGGGGCAAAAAAAATCAATAAAATATATTTAAAAAAATAATAAATAAATAAATTTAACATGTCCTAGAATTTGAATTCCTAGTTTTTACTACCATTAAGTTACTGCATCCCCAAACAAAACAAAATACAAATAAGCAAACAACCCACCCTAATTCTTCTACAATCTTCCTCATCTTAGCAACTGAAAACTCAGTTCTTTCAGTTACTCAAGCCAGAAATCATGGGGTCATTCTTGACTCCTTTTTCTCTCACAGCTCACATCCAGTCCATTAACATACATATTAGCTTAATGTATAAAATATATACAGAATCTCCGCTCTTCTACTACTACCCGTGTTCAAACTACCATCTCTTTTGCCTGGATTACTGTAATAGCACCTGATTAGTCTTGTTTCCACTGTTGTTTCTCTACAACTGTCATCCACATAATAATAGCAAGAGGTAGCCTGTTAAAACATACAGATCATTCCATACCTACACTTACTATTCACCAGCTGATTCATAGTAAATGCCACTCATTTCACTGGCCTACAAAGTCCTATCTGACCTGGGCTCCAATCTCTCTGATTTCCTATTCTGCCATCTTCCCCTTGCTTACTGTGTTTCAATAAAACTCCCCATGCTACCCTTTATATATAATAAGCATATTTATGCCTCCAGGATTTTGCTTTTCCCTCTACTTGGAGTGTTTCCCCACAGATACGAGTGGCCTACACCCTTATTTTCTTCATGACTGTGGTAAAATTTACCTTATTAGACAGACTTTCTCCCCACAACACTCTGCCATATCTGGCATGTAGTGGGTCAACTAGAGGCAAGATGTGATAGTTCTTCCACTTGTTGTGTCACCCACTTCTCCCATGATGGTATTTTACCATGTAGCTTACTCCTTCAAGTGCTTAAGATGGTCTTTAATATCTATTGACTAAATAAATTTTCTTTGAGGAAGGGTGACCACTGAAAAGTGGCCCAGTACTGTGGGAGAAATTTGGCCTGGTGGGAACAAGATCGAGCCAGTCTGACCCACTCGCTTCTGTAATGAGGAATTTTGCCTAGAAAAACAAAAAGTCATTTCCTTTGTAACATTGTATTTAGAAAACATCTCACACTGAGTAGTATTGAGCAGACTTATTTGGTAAGCAGTGGTTATAGAGAGCTTGGGACATTGCTCAGTCCATTCCTGTCCTGGTGCTTCTGGGGCTGACCTGCAAAGCACAATCTAAGAGTAGCAGGACTTTGGGTTATTTTTTAGGCCAAGAAAGCCAAGCCAGTCAGAGGGGAAACATGAGATCAGCCCATGATATATGGCAATAACAATTCCATAGGCTTTTAGTCTCAAAATGAATGTTTTATTGACATTTACCTATCCAATGTAGGCAGGGGCTAGAATTGTTTCTGTTTGATAATGGGTACAGGACTGAAGCACAAAGTAATTAAAGAACCAGCAAAACTGGAATTTGGACCAGGCCTATTGATTCTCTTTCCCATCTTGGCCAACAAAGCGATATCTGACCCAACTTTGAATTTATTGCTTTCAGATTACTATAACTGGTAAGGTATGCTGGGAAATATAGTTAAGATCAAAGAAGGCTAGTTTCAAAGTATTAGCCTTCATCTCAGGCTCCTTGGATCCTTGAAACTTTTCTAATTTTAAAATCATAGGTGCTGTTTATTTCTTCTTAAGTGATTCCTGAAAGCAGAGAAGACACCTTGCATGTTTAGAAACTCCCCAAAGATTGGGTTTATTAAGATTACTACAAATCAGATGCATAAGTCAGATTCCTAAGCTGTTAAGTAAAATCTCTTGGGACACTGATTGAATCTCCTGTTCCTTCCCTTCTTCCCTTTGTGAAGACCATTTCCTGGATTTCCTCTTTCCTGGCAGAGCCTTGACCATTAATATTTACCAGACAACTCCAGGAATTCATACATACCTTGAAAGTAGGATTTGATTTTAGGTGTTTGATCTCAGAGATTCCTCATTTCCTTAAGGGTATATATGACATTGGACATAAACTATAATTGTTAGTGTGTTTTAAGAAAAACCATGACTGGTAGAGGAGATGATAATAGCTTATTTTCATTTTTAAAGGATGGCTTACTTTAGGTCAGTTAAGCCTGTGCCCTCTTTGAGTACGTTTATTTCACATTCAGTAATCCTAACCGGGTGTGTGCTTGTGCTGCTTTGGTGGATGGGAGATAGGGGATGGGGTTGGTTCCATTGCTCTATTCTCACCTGAAATGCAGATTAGCAAAGCTGAATTTGAGAGTGAGCTTAAGACTGACTATATTAGAAGCAAGGCTCTGAGCCATTAGGTGGAGCCTTTGTATCCCATTCAGAGCTGGCTCCCTTGGTAACTTTTTAACACTCTCACAGCTGCACCTGCTATCACTGGCCATAAACGGAGCGAGAACAAGAATGAAGGGCAGGATGCCATGATGTACTGCAAGTCAGTTGGCTACCCCCACCCAGAGTGGGTCTGGCGCAGGAAGGAGAACGGTCTGTTCATGGTGAGTAGGAGGTCTCTGGTTACTAGATTTTTGGCCGGGGGAGGCCCAGACATCTGGGCCAGCTGCTACAACTGCCATATTGGCATGGCTTTGGTCACCTTTTCTAGAGTCATATGAATGGTTGCAACATGAATCTGGAGGTCAGTGACAGTTTCTGTCCAGCATGGAAACGCTTTGGATGATTTGTTAACGCTGTCTGTCTGGTAAGGGATTAGACTGCTTGCCTTGAAGGTACGACATTAAAAGAGCTAACCCCAATCTTAAACTTTTACTGTCCAGTGGTCGGCAAACTACGACTTTCGAGCCACATGAGTGTGGCTCATCCACAGATAATACCACATGTGGTGGGATTGAAACTTTGTGGCCCGTGTGCAGAAGTCGGTTTTCGGCTCTCAAAAGAAATTTCAATTATTGTACTGTTGATATTTGGCTCTGTTGACTAATGTGTTTGCCAACCACTGTTCTAGTCTGTTTATCCTAACAAAAATAATGGTTTTTAAGTGGTCTTACTGTTTTGGGGAAGACAAGGCAGAGAACAAATATTAGTATATTTCTGAAACACAGGATTAGGAATTGAAGCAACCTGATGAGACTCAAGGGCAATTGGAAATCTGACAGTATCTGTTCCAGGAAAAAGTTAAAAACTTTTTTTTTCCTAATCCGTGGCATGATTCTTTTTTTTTTTTTTTTTTTTTTTTTTAATCCTCACTTGAAGACATACTTTATTTTTTATTTTTTAATTTTTATTTTTTTAAGAGACAAAGAGAAACATTGATCAGTTGCCTCCTACACACACCCTGACTAGGAATCGAACCCACAAACCTAGGTATGTGCCCTGATCAGGAATCAAACCCAGTCTTTCTGTGCACAGGATGACCAACTGAATCTGGCATAATTCTTTTTTCTTTTCTTTTTTTTTTTCCCCCCCTCAAAGAATACATCTTAGATTTATTAAGAGAAAGAGATCCTGAGGGTAATAATTTTCCATTTCCTTTCCAGGCCTTTTGGCAAAAGAAAAGCTGAAAATCTAGATGAATTTTTTTTTCTATTTCTTTAAATCTTTAAAAAAAATTTTTATTGATTTTTTTTTTTTTTTTTTTTTTTACAGAGAGGAAGGGAGAGAGAGGGATAGAGAGATAGAAGGATCAATGAGAGAGAAACATCAATCAGCTGCTTCTTGCACACCCCCTAGTGGGGATATGCCCACAACCAAGGTACATGCTCTTTACCTGAATAGAACCTGGGACCCTTCAGTCAGTAGGCCTATGCCTATCCACTGAGCCAAACTGGTTAGGGCTTAAATTAAATCTTTATTGTTGAAAGTATTACATATGCCCTCTTCCTTCCATACCCGCCATTGACTCCTTCTAGTCCGCCTCCACCACCCACTCAAGGCCTTCACCACCCTATTGTCTTACGTATATAAGTTCTTTGGTTGAACCCTTCCCACTCACTCATCCATCCCCACATTCCCTCTGAGATTCAGCATTCTGTTCCATGCTTCCACATCTCTGTTGTAATCAGTTTATTTTGTTAATTAGATTCAACATATGAGTGAGATAATGTGATAATGAGATAATGTGATCCCTGGCTGGTATTATTTTGCTTAGCATAATACTCTCCATGCTGTCTCAAAGGCTAAGAGATTCTTCTTTTTTTACTGCTGCATAGTGTAAGCATTTGATAGGCACTTGGGCTGTTTCCAGATCTTAGCTATTGTAAATTGAGCTATTGTAAATGAACAGAGGAGTGCATACATTCTTTCTGACTAGGTGTTTCGTGTTTCTTAGGATATATCCCTAGAAGTGGAATCACTGGGTCATATGGCAGTTCCATTTTTAATTTTTTGAGGGAACTCCATACTGTTGCCCATAGTGACTGTATCAGTCTCTGCATGCCCACCAGCAGTGTACTAGGTTTCCTTTTTTCCCCACATACTCACCAGCACTTGTCATTTGTTGATGTGTTGATGGTAGCCATTCTGACAAGTGTGAGGTGATACCTCATTGTTGTTTTAATTTGCATCTCTCTGATGATCAGTGACTTTGAGAATTTTTTCCTATGTCTCCTGGGCTACTGTATGTCCCCTTTGGAGAAGTGTCTATTTAGGTACTTCGCTCATTTTTTAATTGGATTGTTTGCCTTCTTCCTATTATGAGTTCCTTATATATTTTGGATATTAACCCTTTATCAAATGTATTATTGCCAAATATGTTCTCCCATACAGTGGGCTCCTTTTCATTTTGATGGTTTCTTTTGCTGTGCAGAATTTTTTATTTTGATGTTGTCCCATTTGTTTGTTTTCTCCTTAGTTTTCTTTGCCTCTAGTAGATGTATCTATACACACATTGCTACAAGAGATGTCTGAGATTTTGCTGCCTATGGTTTCTTTTAGGATTTTCAGGGTTTCACAACTTACATTTAAGTCTTCTATCCATTTTGAGTTTATTCTTGTGTATGGTGTAAGCTGGTGGTCTAGTTTCATGTTTGCATGACCAGTTTTCCTTATTGGAGAAACTGTTGTGACACCATTGTATGTTCCTGCCTCCTTTGTCAAATATTAATTTAGCATAATAGCTTGGATCAATTTTGTGGATCTCTGTTCTGTTCCATTGATCTATATGCCTGTTTTTTAGTCAGTAACCAGGCTGTTTTTTATTATGGTGTCTTTGTAGTATAACTTGATACCTGGTATTGTGATCCCTCTAACTTTGTTTTTCTTTCTCAAGATTGCTGTGGCTATTCATGGTCATTTTTGGTTTCATAGTTTTTGGAGTATTTAGTCTAGATCTGTGAAATATGCTATTGGTATTTTAATAGAGATTGTATTGAATCTGTAGATTGCCTTATATAGTATGGGCATTTTAATTATGTTAATTCTACCATTCAATGCATACCGTATATTGTTCTACTTTTTTATCTCTTTTTTCTATGTCCTGTAGTTTTCTGAGTACAAGTCTTTTACTACCTTGGTTAAGTTTATTCCTAATTATCCTAATTTTTTTGTTGCATTGGTAAATGGGATTGTTTGTTTAGTTTCTCTTTCTGAGAATTTATTTTTGGTGTATAAAAAAAAGCCATCAATTTTGGGGTATTGTTTTATCCTGCTACATTGCCAAATTCATTTATTAAAACTAATAGTTTTTTGATGGAGTCTTTAATGTTTTCTGATTTCTATGTACAATATATCATCTGCGAATAATGAGAGTTTTACTTCCTCCTTTTGAATTTGTATGCCTTATATTTCTTCTTCTTGTCTGATCACTGTGGCTTGGACTCCCAGGACTGTGTTGAATAGGAGTGTTGGAAGGGAACATCCCTATCTGGTTCCTGTTAGGGGAAATGGTTTTAGTTTTTGACCATTGAGTATGATGTTGGTTATATGTCATATATGGCCTTTATTATGTTTAGATATACTCCCTCTATTCTCACTTTGCTGAGTTTTAATTAAATATGGGTGTTGGATTTTGTGGAATGATTTTTCTGCTTTTATTGATATGTTCATGTGATTTTTATCTTTCATTTTGTTTATATGATGTATCATGCTTATTGATTTGTGAACATGTACCCGTTGTACCAGCCTTGCTTCCCTGGAATAAATCCCACATGGTCATGGTGTATGAACTTTTTTTATATTGCTGCATCCAATTTGCTAATATTTTGTTGAGGATTTTAGCATCTATGTTCATCAGGGATATTGGCCTGTAATTCTTTTTCTTTGTAGTGTCTGGTTTTGGAGTTAGGATAATGCTGGCCTTATAAAAAGAGTTTGGAAGTGTTCCTTCCTCTTTAATTTTTTGTGAATAGTTTGAGGAGTATAAATGTTATTCTTTGAATGTTTGATAAAACTCCCCTGTTAAGCCATAGAGACACCTGCCCTGTGGCATGATTCTTGATGGTATTGGGAAAGTCAAAGCTTTAAACTCTTAGTTTCTCTTTTACTCACTGATGTTTGGTTAATCTCCTTTTCTGTCAGAGAAGTGTCATATACATTCCTTCTGTTCCCAGTCCTTGTATGCCCAACACTATACTTATCAGGTGTACTTGTTAATTATCATTTTTCAGAATCAGAAGGACCTGATGACCATCAAATCCAGCTTCTTCAGAAAGGTTACCTTTTAACCAAGATAAATTAGTGACAAAACCAAGGGTCAAATCTAGTTTATTAAAAACCTTTAAGTCCTGCCCTGGCTGGTTTGGCTCAGTTGTTAAAGCACTTGTCTGTGGACCAAAGGGTCATGGGTTTAATTTCTAGTCATGGGTACGTATCTTGGTTGCCGGGGCGCATGTGGGAGGCAGCCAGTCAGCGTGTCTCCCTCAGTTCGATGTTTCTTCCTCTCCTCTCTCCCCCCCTTCCTCTTTCCAGTTCTCTCTCTCTCTATAAATCAATGGAAAAAATATCCTTGGATGAGGATTTTTTTTAAAAAAAGTCAATTTTTCTTCACATTCTTTGACCTCTCAATAATATTATTTTAGGTGTTGATAAGGACTAACCTTGACTACATTTCAGAATTTGTATGAGGAATGGAGAGGTGAAGATACTGCATTTAGTCTTTCAGAGTAGGCTCTGAAAGAACAAGACATTTAGAATTTTGCAGTGCTAGCAAGGATATGCCCATTTTTCTTTATTGGGCCCTGGTGGGAGGACCTTTGAGTTTTGGTCAGAGCAGTTTGGGGTTTCCTCAATAGGTATTTTCATCTCCTGTTCTCATGACTATGGAATCTTAAGTATCCTATCTAATAAAAGAGTAATATGCAAATTGACCGTACCCCCCTCCCACCAGCCATGCCCCACCAGCCAATCAGGAACAAATATGCAAATAAACCCAACCAAGATGGCTACAGCCACAGAGAGCAGGTGGGAGGGGTGGGTTTCCCAGCAATGGAGAAAGCCAAGCTTTCCATCTGCCCTGGCCTGCCTTGGCCTCCACTTAAGGCTACAAAGTTTCAATTATAGAAGATACATAAATCCCATGGAGCAAGCAGGAAGTTTGGCTTCACTCCAGGCTACAAAGTTTCGATTGTAGAAGGTAAATAAATTCCAGATACCAGGGCCTCCGCCTGGGTCGCCAGGGGGCATGGCTGGCCTGCAAACCACCACATGCCCCTCACCCAGGCTGCCCCACACCCCAAGGGAACACCCACCCTGATCTGGGACACCCTTCAGGGCAAACCAGCCAGCCCCTACCCATGCACCAGGCCTCTATCCTATCTAATAAAAGAGCAATATTTAAATTGACCATCATTCCAACACATAAGATGGCTGCCTCCATGTGGTCAAAGATCCTGCCCCCATGTGGACACAAGATGGTCGCCACAAGATGGCCAACAAGGGAGGGCAGTTGAGAGGGACCAGGCCTGCAAGGGAGGGTAGTTGGGGGTGATCAAGCCTGCAGGGGAGGGCAGTTTAGGGTGACCAGGCCGGCAAAGGAGAGAAGTTGGGGGTGGCCGGGCCTGCAGGGAAAGGCAGTTGGGGGGGGACTCAGGCCTGCAGAGGAGAACAATTATGGGGGGACCAAGCCTGCAGGGGAGGACAGTTAGGGGTAAACAGGCTGGCAGGGGAGCAGTTAGGCATCAATCAGGCTGACAGACAGAAGTGATTAGGGGCAATCGGGAAGGCAGACAGGTGAGCAGTTGGGAGACAGCAGTCTTGGATTGTAAGAGGGATGTCTGACTGCCTATCAGGATCTGGCTTAAACAGGCAGTCAGACATCCCTCAATGGGTCCCAGATTGGAGAGGGTGCAGGCTGGGCTGAGGGACACTACTCCTCCCCCACCACCCTGTGCACAAATTTCGTGCATCAGGCCTCTAGTCTGTTACATTTTGAAAAACATTTAAATCAAACATTGGTACTTCCTCTTGCTGCCAAGCTATATATCATAGGTTAATGCCTTTAAAAACCATTTTGTTTGAATGGCCTAAATTTAGTGGAGTGCTGAGTAAAATGCTTTCAAGTTTTTCTAGGTACTGATTTCAGCAATTTCCTAACATCTGTTTTTGGACAAATCCTGTGGTTTTCTTGGATTACTTATTCTAAGTCATTTATTTTCATCTTTGTGTATTCTCACTTTTTTTTGCCCTTGAGCAGGATATTGCTAATAACTCCGGCCGCTTCTTCATCATTAACAAGGAAAATTACACTGAGTTGAGCATCATGAACCTCCAGATCACAGAGGACCCTGGCGTGTATCAATGTAATGCCACCAACTCCGTTGGTACTCACTCCGAAGTCACCATCCTCAGGGTACGGAGCCACCTGGCCCCACTCTGGCCTTTCTTGGGAATCCTGGCTGAAATCATCATCCTTGTGGTGATCATTGTTGTGTATGAGAAGAGAAAGAGACCTGATGAAGTTCCTGACGGTAAGGGCATCCCTGCAAAATAGCTATAATGTTAAGGTGGTTTTGCTGGGTAGTATCTAAAGATGTTGGGATTCAATCCCAAAAGGAGAGAAGGAAAATTCTTTTATTGGTTTCTCATCCACTACCCCAAAAATTAGGCATCTAGAGCTTTAATATTAGCTCTATGCTTCCACTTAAGTGTTCTCTAGACCCCAGTCCTATCTGCACTTTAGGCCCCATGTGGGAAATGGGCAGCTATCGATTTTTTTATTTAGCTCTGTCCTCCTCCAATACAGATCATCAGGCAGATTGAGCTTGAGGAGAATCCAAATCAAGCCTAGAAGCCACCCCAAGATGGCAGGCCACCTGGCCTTTCAGGCAGACTTAAGATATCTAATTGGTTGTGACACAGTTGCCTGATGTAGCCCCTGAGGTCACTCATTGCCCACATTTAGTCAGACTGTTCTCAGGAAAAGCTATTGGAACAAGCCAGCCTTTGGTTCTCTTGGTTGGTTCTTTCAATAGGTTTTGGACATTCTTGGTAAAGCCAGCACCTTCCCACCCCCACCCCAAGCAGTAACACCTGAAGTTCATACCAGAGGCAGCACCCTTCCTACTTTCCCCCCTCCCTAAAGCTGACCTAGGGTGAGAGAAGGGTTGATTTTAGCAACAGAGCTATAGAGAATTGTTAAGCATTGGAAAGAATAAGAATCTAAGGATAGTTGGACATGCTTAGAATCAGGAAAGCCCTGAGGCATTTCTGTGTGTTTTTTGTCATAGATGTTCAGTTTCTAACCCAATTGATTATAGTTGGGGGGAACTATTGATGGACACTTGGATCAGTAGTTGTTCAGATTTCTAATTAGCTTCTCATCTCCACCTTCCTGCCCTATAGCATCACCAGTGAAAGCAAATTAATTGGCCAGTCAGCTATTACCACCACTGTCTGTCACTGACTAGGCTAGAAGGGTCTGCACTTAAGTTCAGTGGAGGCTGACTTTGAGTGATGTGAAGAAGTCAGCTCTAATTCGACAGTCCTGGGCTATGCTTGTGCACTGTGGTATTATTTCTTGTCCTTGTCCCTGTGGCTGGACAGTGGAACTGTACCACCTACCCTGTTTGTTAGGGAGAGCACTAAGGGAAGTCTGTGCTTTCATAGACTGCAGTCCTGAAGGAATGCAGTGATTCCCAATTATTTGGAAAGATAGATTTGAGAGCAAGAGCCATTTGTTTCCCCTTCTTTTCCTTTTGTTTCAGCAACTTCTAATTCTCTTTGCCTGTGTTAAGTAGAGTATTAGAGTGAAGCTGGTGGAAAGGAGTTTTGTTAAAACTAACAGTGCACATGGGAAGACATGGTGAACTTCTCTCCAGATGTACATTCAGCAGTGATCTAGATGGAGGGATGGGGTAGACTTAGGCTGGAAGCATATAGGCCTTTGTAAATAAATGAGTCAGTTCCCTGCAACATAAGTGTTCCAAGGATTTTTACTTTCCTTCTAAGTCCATAGAACTGTTCTATGAAATACAATTGTTTTTTTGGGATTTTCATGTATGTATGTATTATGCTTTTCCTCTATATTTTCTTCTTCCTGCTATAAACTATGACTCCCAAGGCAGAGTTTGGGACAAGTTGACTATCTGGTTTCAGCATTGGCTCTTTGGAAACAGTTATGCCTCAGCCCAAAAGGCCTTTTTTAAATCCCCTCAGAATGATTTTGAGTTACTAAGTAATGCCATTATCAGTCTTCCCTTTGGAAATGTTGAAAAGCAAAAAGTCAGTTAGAAAAAGACGGGTATGGGCTTCAAAACCAGTTTTTTAAAGTTTTAAGACGAGGCTGGCTGCCACTATTGGCAGAGTGACTCTGGCTTAGCATGCAGCCTGGGCAGAGGTTCCAGTCTTCCTGTGAAAAGCACTTCTTTTACTAGGCTGCTTCCAGCGTATGTGGAAGGCTTTCAGGTTGGTTTTGAGAAATGGGTAGTAGTACTTTGATCTGACATGTGCTCACACCTGTCAGCTCTTTTTTTAAGAGCTCCTTGGTGGTTGAACTCAAATGAGGCTAGTTTGTTATAGGTGACATCTGTGGCCAGCAAATCTTCTGCACGGCTTCTTGGAGAGAAACTACTTCTTTTAGGTTAAATTATTATAGACAATGAATGAAACCTACCTAAGAGATTACTACAGGGTAAGTGCAAAGTAAAACTTCCTTGCTCCAATCTCTTGGAAGAATAATGCAAGCAGATTTTACTTTCTGTTGTTGAATTGGGGTGGAAAAGTCTGGGATGCTGGAGTCACTGCAATGTTTGCCTTCTCTTCATTACCTCCCTGACTGCTAGCATGGTCCAGGCTTCATTGTCCATCTCCATGTCCCTGCCCTTGCTCCAGTATTTCCATCCCATAGTTTTCTCCTTGTCCCTCTGCCTGCACCTCTTTTTCTTCTTCTGTCCTGGAAGTAATCATTAAAAAATAAAGTTTATTGTCCTCAGCGAGTTTTTCTGATGCTGTGGTTTTTTCTTTTTTAGCCAGTTTCCCCTCAATTCCTATACAATTTGTATGAGAGCAGATGCACTGCATATGCTTTCTTCCCTTAGGTCTCCCCCACCCCCAACTCACAGAAATAAGCATACACTCCTTTTTGTAATGAATGATTTCAAAACAACGTCTGATACAAATTTGGAGTTTTAGAGAGAAATTTTTATCTGTCAGATAACCAATCAACAGTGGCTCTGAGTTGACTTATTTATGTTACAGTCAACCTCGGTTCTCAAACAATTCCCATCTTGAACAATTTGGTTCTCAACTATGTTGTTCACTGAAGTAATGTCTTGGTTGTCAAACAAAATTTTGATTCTCAACCTGACAACCCTCTCATGTTGATACATGAGCATGACAAAAAGCATCTCTCAGGCCACAAAAGAGAGAATAGGGTGTATGTCAGTTTACCACTTAACCTGCTATTGTTAACATCTCAGAAAATTGTGCTATAAATACTTTCTTTTTCTTTTTTGCCTTTGTTGCTGAGGAAATGGAGGATGAGCACAATTTGAAAACATAAAGAGACCATCAAGAGTGCTGTTGTTGCTAAAGATGTGAGAGTGCTCATGAAACAATTTTTACAGGCAATTGAAGAGCTAGAAAAATTGTTGATTTGGATAAGTGAAAATCAGTTTGTGGGTGATAGCGTTTCAGAGGTAATGAATGATATGTGAGAAAGCAAAGGTGCTGCATGCTAACCTGAAAGACACCTCTGGAATGTGTGCTGAAAGTGATTCGATTAGGCTAGTAGGGGGTGGTTCCATAAATTTAAGAAGTATTTGTTTATAGATTAAACAGTACATTAGATATATACTATATATAAGAAAGATTGAAACAATCAATTTACATTATTTCTCATAGGAAAAAAAATGATTCCGTTTTCAAATAAATCTCTTCTCAAACAGCTTTCCAGAATGAATTAAGTTCGAGAATCGAGGTTCCACTGTATTATGAAATGGAATTTTCATAAGTCCATCATGCTTTTTCTCTGTCAAATAGGTACTTCATTATCAAGATATACCTATGATTTAATTCTGACTCACTGAACTTTTTTCATACTCAAAAATTCATATAAAACTCATAGTATTTATTAGGTAGGGCCTGTTTGTGGATTCTTGGTAACTCATTATTAAAAAAGCAATTAAGTAAGTAATATAAAAATATATAAACACAAATTTGAACTTAAGAGTTTAGTCTAAATGTTTCACTAGAAAAGCAAATATTGCTTTAGATTTCTCACATAGAAAATGCTGAGATTAACATTTAGCTGCTTCCAGAAAAAAGAAAAATGGGGGGTGGGGTAGGGCAGGCATGTGTTTTTGTGTACTGGTGTATACTCAGGATATCTTATAAATGAAACATCTGTTATGGTCTCTTTGTGCAAAGTTGGTTGTCTTATATAGGTATAGGATCTGCAAATCACCTTTTACCTTCAGTGTTTTCAGTTACAGGTGAATCATGGAGCCAAAATAAGGCCTTTGTTTTTTCACTTTATTTACCTCTTGACTTCATTCTCTGAAAACATTAAATGGTAATTCTCTAAAAGACTAGGTCCAGCCAGCATTCCTCTAGTCTTCCATCCATCTTTGTAATGGAACACATGCTCGGAGCACATATTCTGTGTGGGTTCCCTGCTGACTGAACCTAGAGAACATTAGTGCGTGCTTTCAAAACCCCTCCCCAGTCCTCTAAGGAGATGGGATGGATTGGCTTGGTCATTGGGGACCTTACAGCTTACTGGACATTTCAGTGACCTCAAATGAAATTTAGGAAAAGTGCTGATATCACTGAGTTTCCTACTTCTACATTAGGGGGATAATTTTTAAAAAAATATATATTTTATTGATTTTTTATAGAGAGGGATAGAGAGTCAGAAACATCAATGAGAGAGAATCATCGATCAGCTGCCTCTTGCACACCCCCTACTGGGGATGTGCCCACAACCAAGTACATGCCATTGACCGGAATCGAACCCGGGACCTTTCAGTCCGCAGGCCGATGCTCTGTCCACTGAGCCAAACCAGTTTCGGCAGGCGGATAATTTTTATGTCAATTAAAGGGACTCTTCCATTAAATTATGATAGAGAAGATGCTTGGAGTGGGGGGAGGGGTATTTTTAGAGGCTCTGATTTATCCAAACTCTAAAATCTATTAGTTGGATAAAGCATTTGGTAGCATATGAAGATTTACCATGTTGAAAAAAAAACGTGACTCTAAAAGAAAATTATATATATAAATAATTGATTTTACAGAGAGAGGAAGGAAGAGGGAGAGAGAAACGATTGGCTGTCTTCCATGTGTCTCAACTGGGGATTGAGCCTGCAACCCAGGCATGTGCCCTGATCAAGAATCGAATCAGCAACCTCTCGGTGTATGGGAGGATGTCACACTGGCCAGGGCAAAAGATACAGCTTTTTAAAATAACATGTAGAATACACATTCGTTATCTCTTAACTAAGGGTCATTAGGGTCATTAGGATCAGTAACAAGTTACCTTACTGAGGAAAAACAATAGGACCACATAAGGAAGGAAATTGGAAGTAACTAATCTCTCATTTGGTTAATCTACTCTGCTATGATCAGGCAGCATTAAAGTGTTTTTAGAAACCATAAAACTCCATCCTTCATGAGATAAAGGCAGTGAAAAAGGAGCTTTGACCAGATAGTACAGTCTGGTCATTTTGACTTTAAAGCCATCTTTTTGGAGGTGATATTGTATCAGGTAATCTGTTACCCCTACTTTGTGAGGTGGTCCTGAGTGCTACAGTGCATTTGATTGGGAAGACCAGATGCAGAGAAATCAGTGTGTGCAACAGCTCCACCAGGAACTTCACTCATAAGATGGATTCCAGAAGCATCTTGTTTCCATTCTTCCCCAGCCCTCTTTCTCCTAGCTAATGGCTGTATTACCCCGATGGAGAGGACAGTCATTGTTTAAGCGGCTGTCTTTTGGCCTGAGGGTTTGGGGGTATGTTGATACTTGTCGGTTACTATGACTTCTTTTTTTTCCCCCCTCAATTGCATCAAACCCTTAAAACATGGTGGTAAGTGAGCGATATGCATGCTTTTGGAGTTTGTTTAATCTCCGCTTCAGTCTATACAGTGCATAGTTCATAATGTTAACACTTCAAGTTTACTTCATTCACTTTCACTACTAACTTGGATTTCAGTTTGCTGTTTAAAATCCTCATTTAGTTTGATTTTTGTACCTTGTTTTTGTAGTTCTGTTTTTTCCCCTTCCTGATTTCCCTGTGAGGGTCAAGTTGTTTTTTGTCTGACCTGTAAGGGAGAGTGGTGCTGCTGTCAGTCCACGAACATAGGGGACATGAAGCTCTTTGTAAATGTGAAAGTGGATTTGGGGAGAGAGATGATGGGGCTTATGAGATTTAGACACGACTGTGAACAACAGCTGTTCCCACACGCAGGCATGGCAGCTTCACAGAGCCACTGTTGCTACAATCCCTACTGCAGCCCTTTGCACGTTATGGACTGGACCTTCCTCAGACGCCAGGGCATATCCTCTGCAAAAGAAAGAAAAGTTGTGGTGCGACTGCCGGGGTTGGTGCTGATAGCGTCATGCTTTAAAAAGAATTAGCTTGGCTGTTGCAATACCATCTCCCTTGCTTTTTCTTTTAAAGTTGGGATAGATGGAAGGTATTCTTGAATTGCTATCTTGCTTTAGAATTTTGAGTATTTGGGTTCACAGCCAGAGCACTAAAAATATTGAGTTTGCTTCTGTGTCTTTAACTTTAATTCCCTGAGTGCTTAGTTCCTAGCATGTAGCTGAGCTGGCGTGGCCAGGATTCTGAGAGCATTAGGGTGTCAGGTGAGGGAGGACCTAGGCTGGGCTTGTGTGTTAGTATCTGCCGTGTTTTTTTATATCTTCACTGCATACATAGCACACAGATGTCGGGGTGTGCTTAAGTCTTAGTTTGTTCTCTGTATCTGTTTGCTAGTACTGTTGTCAATAGTGGTATCTTGTGGACACTGGTGTGTTGCTAGCCTGTGGTTTTGGCTAATAAGTTGTTGGTTTGTGGTTAGTTTTTGTTTTGTTTTTTAAATCTGTTTTGCTCCAGTCACTGTGTGTGCTGGCAGTGGCTTTGCCTCTCCATTGCCTCAAAGGAACAGGTGGAGCAATGTCTCCCTCTGACAGACATTCCTCCTGACGTGTGCTCCTGCGGACGCCTGCACTGAGACTGTGATCTCCATAACTGCTTCATGTGTACCAAGCCCCCTTGTGGAATCCTGCTGAGAGTTTTTCCAGAAGCCTTCAGTGAAACCAAACCATTCTGAATCATTTAATCTACCAGACTTTTGTAAAATAAAAAGAAACTAAGAGCACTTACTTGTTCCCTTCCCTTTGTGGGCCTTAAAAAAAAAAAAATTCTACATATGTATATCCCTGCTTAAGTGGGACCAAGTTGCCCTTAGTTGAAATAGGGAAGAAAAATTTATAAATCAGAACAATAAAATACCAATTTAAGAAGGCGTCTAAACTCAAATAATGGAAGCTTTTGATTAAAAAAAAAGAAAAGATCTCTGGCTCATCTGGGTTTGGGTTCTGGTTTTGGCCAGGGCACAAGAGTGAGCCCGTCTGTATCTGAAGTCTTTTCCAGAGGGATGTCACCACCACTCAGCTTTCCCTGCTGCGTCACAGAACACCCTCTTGTTGCTTACACTTGTTGTTGGCATGGCCCAGCCTGGCTAACCCTGGTTGAGCTATTATAGCTTCCTCTTCCTCAATCTTATTTTCCAGACTACAGACGCAAAACAGCAGGAACAGTGTCCTTTGGGGAAGTGAGGATGTGTGGCTAAATATATAGAACATACACATCCATCTACATTGTAGGATTGAGCTAAAATTGTACATGCATTCACCATAAGAAAACAAACAGCAGGATTTTACAACTGAAATGTTGGTTTGTCTTCTCATCTGTTTAAGAGTGAACCACTGGAACTTGGGGACAAGATGAGTACAATTACTTTGCAGCCTATCTGTCCGCTATAGTTGCAGTTTTTCATGACAAGCATTCAAAGTGTTAACTAAAACCATTGAAAAAACATCTCTGCCATTAAAAACTTGAATCTAGAAATAACAACTCCATGAGTGTTTTGCACCTCCAGATGGAATGGCCTTGAATAAATGCTATGTTTTTTACCACTTGACATTTGTTGTTCTGTTAATCCATATGCAATCTCACACTTTTCTTCTTTCTTCTCCTATCAATGGATTCTAAAAAACAAAACAAAACTGAACACCTCTGTAGACGATGAACCAGCTGGGCCAATGTAAGTACTTTATTGGACATTGAGTGACTAGCTTCTGATTGAATTATTTTTCATTCATGTTTTAATCGTGGAGTAGCTAAGATTATAGGGAAGAGTGAAATGAATGTTGCAGTGCAAACTCAGCAGCTTGATATACAGGTGGCTGATGGGCAGGCTATTTTAGTAGCAATATAAAGTAGAATACCATTTGTTTAAAATTCTGCATATCCCCTATGCTTAAATTATGGGAAAAATGACCAGTATATCTGAGACTTTAAGTTCCATACTATCTGGCTCCATTAACAATTACGTGTATCTAGAACATGGAATTGCAAATTGGATCAATCCAGGATTAGAATTTCCTAGAGTTGGAGACCAAATAGTGCTCCAAGTTGTGCCAGAGGACCCAGAGCTGCCTCTGTATAATTGAGTATCATTTATCATTTGAGAAAAGAATGGCGCTTAATAGAGAAAAAAAAACCAAAAACTTATTCTAATCTATATAGTAACTATAGTTTATAAATCAAAGGGAAAGTTACCTGTATATTCTTTACCTTGAGAGTCAAAGGGATCTATTAATTGAAGATATGTAGGCACTTTATCCAGGGAATATTTTTATGTACTAATATTGTGTAGTAAACTGTCTCATTACACCAGGGATGGCAGTAAGTGAAAGAGTCCCTGTATTTCCATGTGTTATACTTTCCAAAAGTTTCTCCTGACTTTGAGTTTAACTATTGTAATATAATTTTTCCTCCAAAGGAAAACCAACTCTACCAACAATCACAAAGATAAAAACTTGCGCCAGAGAAACACAAATTAAGTACTACTTTTAATGTAAGTATGGCCTTCTTCAGAAGTTTTCAAAATTTTATTGAAATGAGCATGACTCTGTTGATCTTCTTACAAATTTTTCAGTATTTGGTGTTATGCTGCAAGATCTTTTCGTTGATTTCAGAGCAGCTCAGACTGGTGGGAACCCATTATATAGCAGCTGGAAAGGACCGTTTTTTCAGCTGCATTGTTTCACATATTTACATAAATGCCATTTCAGAATATGTATGTTTCAAAATAACACTTTGTGCTACTGTTTACTTATATATGTTAAAAGAGGTAAAGATTAAATTCTCATCTTGCTAGGTGGGATATTCCTGGAGGCCAGTTAGTCCCTCACTGCTTCTGAGGGCAAGGCAAGGCCTGGTAGCTAGGACAGCTGGCCCCAGTGCCTTCCTGTCCGGCACATGGAGATCAGAATTTCACTCCGCATCCCTGAGCATGCTCTTTGAAACAAAGCCTTGTTTTGTGTGGCACTTAGTTCTTAAGTTAGGCTTTTAATTTCCAAATACTCTTTTTTTTTTCTTTTTTTTTTTTTTCTTTACAGATCTTTAGGTTCCTGAAACTGATGGCAACACGATCTGCTAAATATTCTGCTTGGACCTTTTTGGTTCTCTCCCGTTTAAATGAGCAACACCACCACAACTGTCTAAAGCATGCCTTATTTAGCCTCTCCTGTAAGGGTGACCTTGCAGGTACATTTTAAACAATGCTTCAGTGTAGAAGGTGTAAACTATTTTGGGCTTGATGTGCTGTGAATGATGCTTCCTTTTCCTTTATTAAAGTATTTAAATAGAAATGAAAAGGTCCTCTAAGGATAGGATCATGCATGCGCCATTTTTTACTTACTGCGACTGTTAATTTGGCAAAATGCACTGCTGCCATCTAGTAATACATTTTTGTAAAGTACAAGCAAAACCTAAAAATAAATACAGTATATAAATATATATATATATATATTTATATTTTGGGGGGGGGGGTGGGAGAAATACAAAATAAAATGCTTGTTTCAGTTTTAAGCTGCTGATATTCATTTCTTATTGTATGTTGTCAGTTGAGGAAATTGTGCGGTTCTGGTACAAAAGATGAGTAATATAAATTGAAATCTATAATTTTAATGGCTTAACCAATGATTCTAATAAGAAGCTGGAATAGTCCATTGAATGACTATAATGAATTTCAGTATATATGTATGATTGCTTTTTAAATGCTTATTTTGTTGTTTGCTGAATCATGTAAATTCTTATATCCTTTTGCACTGATCTGTTGAACCTTATTGTACATTTAATTAAGACATACTTCTAATTTACCTTTAGTTTTCAGTGACCTTGACATGTTCTAGCATGGTATTCTATGAACTAGATATACTTTGTGGTTAACACTATGTTTTTTTTTTCTTCACATTGATTTAATGGTTGAGTGTAGATTTTCCCACCCAATGGGGTTCTCTCACTCAGTATGTAACCGTACATGCATGTACTCATGTTTTGTGTAATTGTTGATGTGCAATGATGTATAGAAAAGTGGATTCACCTGTTTTTAAAAATAAAACATTGATAAAAGATGTTTGGAATAATATTCTTTATTCTAGTCTTAAGGAGGAAGCATTTGTCAAGTTTCTTAATTCTATATGTACACAGAGTGTTAATTTCTCAACCCCGTCAGTTTTTTTAGTTCCTTTTCCACCTCTTCCACAAATGCTGGGAAATTCTGATCCATGAGGCAGAAGCGGAGAAAGGAGCCTAACTCTTCAGCATTCCATGCAGATTGTTTGTGGACTAGGGGCAGCTCCTCTGATGCCAGGAGAGACTATGGGGATTCCAGAAGAGTGGTTTATTAGAGATTACAGGCAAAAGCAACAGAGTGAATAACAGAAAAACTGCCTGAAGGAAAGATTAGGGAAATACATACCAAAAATGAATGTTAATTATAATTAGCACTCTAGGGTTCCTTTACTTAATGTTTCTTAATATACATAAGAAGTGAGATAAACTTGTATCCTTAGGTATATGGAGTATATTAATGATGTGATTTGCAAAGTTAAGACCCTGTTTTAATAAAGAATACTATTCTGATAACCTTAGGTGGGTTGATAAGAAACCTATCAGTAAATGAACTCCACTAGCTTAGTTTTTCATTCCCACCTCACTTTGGGGGAATGGGTGAGAGCAGTTCATTTGAAAATGGGTTCTGAAGATAATAAAGAATGGCCACACACTGTCCGTCCAAAGCCCCATGTCCTTTTCTGGTCCTGTCCACAAGAGTTGACAAATTCAGAAAGGCATATGACTATGAGGGCAATCAAGATACACAACATTTCCATCCCCTCCCCTTAAGTCCCTTCATACAACCTACCTTTGTTATCAAACTCTTAACTCCCCCCCCCCCCCCCCCCCCGCCAGCAACCACTGTGCTGTATTCTTCATACCTTAGTCATATAAATGAAATCATATAATGTTGAGCACTTTTTTATATGCCTGTTTTCCATTTGTATCTCTTTGGTAACTTAAAAATGTTTTAAAACCCATTAAGTAAATATGTTGTCAATATTTAAATTAGAGTTTAAATAAAAGTCTGACTCTGCTTGGCAGTTTAGAAGATAGAGCACCACTGACCTAATGACGATAGCACCAGCTTGGGGTCCACCTGCATCTCCTTTACTTCTCACACAGATTCTGTTAAGTAGGTGATTTTATGCCTTTTCTGTGGATGGGAAGTCTGGTGTGTATGTATCAACTGACAGCTCTCTAAGAACTATCTATATGCTAGAAATTTATTTTTGTAAATTAAAAGTAACTTTGCAGACTACCTGACTGTAGAAAGAAGAAAAATGAAAGTAACATGAATACCTGTTCTCCAGGAAGAGTGACTGTGTTAGAATGTTAGTTTATCTCCTTCCAGACGTGTTGTGTGTTTACTACAAAAACCAAGTCATACATGATGCTTTTGTAGTCTCTTAAAAAATGTAATGACTATGAATATCTTTCCATGTTAATAAATAGGGATATTTATACATCACTTCTATCGACAGCATTTTTGTCACATTATGGTTATTTCACACTTAAACCACTCAGTATCCTATCAGTAAACATTTATGTTGTTTCCAATTTTGTTACTACAAGCAATACTGTGAACAGCATCCTTACATGTATGTTTCTGTAGCAGAAATATAATTATAGGTAACAGATATGGCATAAAATTGGATCTATATTGCTAAATTGCTTTCCAAAAATTTTTATCAAAGCAAATAAGAAGCATATCTGAACTCTCACTCTGATGTTTTTTCTGGTTTGTACATGGTTCTTGTCTACTATGTAAATAAGCTGGGATATGGTCATACCTTTTATAGTAGATGACATTTCCTAAAGAAGAATATCACACCCTGCCTTGTTCCTTACGTTTTTGTGCCTCTACCGTCCTTAGCCACTTGGATGTAATTAACTTTTAACCCCAATGCAAATATGAGGCTACAAACTATGCACCATGAAGTCTACCCTGCTGCTGGACAAGAGACTTTTACACTTTCCTGTCAGGCAACTAAAGGTCTTTATCCTATGGTTGTCCATTTATTTTGAATTAGTGGTAAGGCGGGGGGGGGGGGGGGGGGTTCTGGGGAGGAAGAGACATATTTTCTTCTTTATACCACTTTTAGAACAGTTTGATACATTAAAAAGAAAATTTATCCTTGAATATTGACAAATTCCATGTAGAATTTTGTGAAAAGTGTAAGCCGTTGGCTTGAGAGCCTACCGTGGAGTGCAGTTAGGACTGCAGTGAACAGAAAGTTCCCAGGGAGCTCCCAGCAGAGCACACACCAGTTATTAGGCCCAAGGAACAGGTTTAAGGTTCTGGCCATAGTGAACTGCAAAGGGAGAGGGGAAGTGTGTGTGTGAAAAGTTGAATCCTCCCAGTTTCCACATATCCTAGCTGAGATCTTAGCACTAAAAATTTGTATAGAAACCATTAATGATTTGTCTTCAAATTTATATTGATATTTGTCTTAAAACAGTTTCCAAAATTTTTCTCTTTATTCCTCTTTTGGGGAAAGTGGTAAATTCTTTATCACACTTAAAGGCTAGCACTATAGGCCACCCCTGTTTCCTTAGCAGAGCAGCTCTTTAGTATGGGCCATCATGGTAATCTCACAACAGGGTAGACGACATGGCCTGTCTGTCTCTAACCTCTTCCATAGTAACTCTTCAAGTTAGTGCTCTAGAATAAGGGAGTGAATAGAGATTCAAATGTTCAGGATCACTGCTTTTCATGGCAAGAAAACGGAACATGGAAGTACCTGTACCTGAGCTAACTGGGTCACTGAGGTCCTTCCTCCTGGGGCAGACTGCTGCTGCTCCGGCCGCTGGTGTGACTGCAACGAGACAACTGCCAGCTTAGCTGAACATAATCATGAAACTGCAGACCATTAAAGAAGTGGAAACACATGGATTCATGTTCAGAGAAAAGAAAATCAGGAGAAATCACTGTTGGTGTAGTTTGTCCTGCTATCAGTTGGCCACTACTTGATTTACCATAGTAGAGATAGGCAGAGTTTAAATCAGAGGCCCCTGTACCTGGGATTCCTGTGTCTGTCCGACACCACTGTGTTCTGTCTACAGAAGCCCAGTCCAGGATCCAGGGCCACAGGCTGGTATTGGAGGACAGTAGATGTTACCCAGCTTTGGATTATCATGATTTGTTATCTAATAATAATTAGTTGGGTAATACATATTCATTGCAGGAAAAGAAATTCCATAATTGCAAGATAATACGTTTTTAATTGGGCTTTAAAAAAGATCTCAACCTTTCTAATGCCGTGACCCTTTAACACAGTTCCTCATGTTGTGGTGACCCCCAACCATAAATTTATTTTCATTGCTACTTCATAACTAATTTTGCTACTGTTTTGAATCGTAATGTAAATATCTGTGTTTTCCAATGGTCTTGTGGGACCTTGCTAGCAGTTCTCAACCTGTGGGTCTCAAGAACCGCTGCTGTAGAGCATAAGACCATCTACATAGGTATTTGGACCATTCTAGAGCTTACAGCCCAGCCTGCTTCCGTTACTGTATGTTCTAGTTATGCTGTATTCAGACTAGAGGCCCAGCATGCACGCGAAAAATTGTGTGGTAGTCTGCTCACACCTCCCCGCCTCCCACCCCGCGTGCTCCCCGCTCACTCGCCCATCACTGCTTGTAGCCTTTGAATTCTCAAGGGTGGTTGGGAGGGAGTTTCCAATCCCACTCCTTTTCCTCTAATGGTTTTCCTGCCCCTCCTTCCTTTTCCTATGCTGATCTGGATAGCCTCTGGCTGCTCCCCACCCAAGGGCTAATCAGGGGAAAGAGCCTTTGACCTCGGTTATAAAAGCACCTGTCTAATCACTGAACTTATTAGGCCACCCGGAGTCCAGATGCATAAGTTACCTATGTCAAATAAACATTTTTGGGGTGTGTGTGAAAATTTAGGTCTCTGATATTGAGAGGAAAAAAACTATTGCTTTAAAATAATGACAACACACTTCAAATATTGTAATGAAAGTATGAAAAATAACACATAAAAAGGCTGCAAAAGTGTTATTTTACTTTGAAGACAGTAGTAACTGAAAATAACAGGTTTCTTTCAGGTCACATCCTAAAAAGGTAGCTGCTTTTTTATGTCTTAGGCCTATACTAAGGTCTTCAAAGACCCCTGACCTTGCCTTCTGAAGACTTTAGGTTAACATGTTTGTCTTAAAAACTGTGAGGTAACTAATTTTTAAAAACTGGCCATACCTCCTCCTTAAACATATTGTCCATCATCCAAGTTATTCTTTTTTCCCCCTCATTTTTTTAATTAAGATATGTGTACATACCTTACCAATCCCCACCCCACCCCACTCCCATACATGCCCTCCCTTCCCAGAGTTTTATGTCCATTGGTTGTACTTATACGCATGTACACAAGTCCCTCGGTTGATCTCTTATCTCCCCCAAATCTCCCTACCCTCCCCGCTGTAATTTGACAGTCTGTTTCTTTTACTGTCTCTATATCTATCCTTTTGTTCATCAGTTTATAATGTTCCTTATCATCCATAAATGAGTGAGATCATGCCATGTTTTTCTTTCATTGATTGGCTTATTTTACTCAGCATGATGTTCTCCAATTCCATGCAGGTCGCTGCAAATGATAAGAATTCCTTTTTTATGGCAGCATAGTATTCCATTGTGTAGATGTACCATGGTTTTTTGATCCAATCATCTGTTGACGGGCACCTAGGCTGTTTCCAAATTCTAGCTCTTGTAGATTGTGCTGCTATGAACATAGGGGTGCATATATCCTTTCTGATTGGTATTTCTGGTTTCTTGGGAAATATTCCTAAGAGTGGGATTACTGGGTCAAATGGGAGTTCTATTTTCAGTTTTTTGAGGAAGCTCCATACTATTCTCCACAGTGGCTGCACTAATCTGCATTCCCATCAGCTGTGCACGAGGGTTCCTTTTTCTCCGCATCCTTGCCAGCACGTTTGCTGATTTGTTGATGTTGGCCATTCTGACAGGTGTGAGATGGTACCGCATTGTTGTTTTGATTTGCATCTCTCGGATAATTAGTGACTTTGAGCATGTTTTCATGTGCCTCTTGGCCTTCCTTCTGTCTTTTTTTGAAAAGATTCTCTTTAGGTCCATTGTCCATTTTTTAATTGGCTCATTTATCTTCCTTTTATTAAATTATATAAGCTGTCTGTAGATGTTGGAGATTAAGCCTTTTTCAGTGATAATGTTTACAAATTTATTTTCCCACACAGTGTGCTTTCTTGTTGTTTTGTTGATGGTTTCTTTTGCTGTAAAAAAGCTTTTTATTTTGATGTAGTCCCATTTGTTTATTTTCTCTTTAGCTTCCATTGGCCTAGGGGCAGTATCAGTGAAGAAGTTCTTTTGGCATATGTCTGAGATTTTGCTGCCTGTGGATGCTTCTAGTTTTTTTTATGGTTTCCCATCTGATATTTAAGTCCTGTATCCATTTTGAGTTTATTTTTGTGTATGGTGTAAGTTGGTGATCTAGTTTCATTTTTTTGCATGTATCTGTCCAATTTTCCCAACACCATTTATTGAAGAGACTGTCTTGACTCCATTGTATGTTTGTGCCTCCTTTGTCAAATATTAATTGAGCATAGTGATTTGGGTTGATATCTGGGTTCTCTATTCTATTCCACTGATCAATATGTCTGTTCTTGTGCCAGTACCAGGCTGTTTTGAGAACAGTGGCTTTGTAATACAGCTTGAAATGTGGTATTGAGATCCCTCCTACTTTATTCTTCTTTCTCAGGATTGCTGTGGCTATTCAATGTCTTTTTTTGTTCCAGATGGATTTTTATTTTTTTTTATTTTTTATTTTTTTAAAATATATTTTATTGATTTTTAACAGAGAGGAAGGGAGAGAGACAGAGAGCTAGAAACATCGATGAGAGAGAAACATCGGCCAGCTGCCTCCTGCACACCCCCTACCGGGGATATGCCCACAACCATTGTACATGCCCTCGACCGGAATCGAACCCGGGACCTTTCAGTCCGCAGACCGATGCTCTACCACTGAGCCAAACCGGCTTCGCCCCAGATGGATTTTTAGAGAGTTCTTTCTAGGTCTGTGAAATATGCTGTTGGTATTTTAATGGGGAGTGCTTTGAACCTATAAATTGCTTTGGGAAGTATGGATATTTTGATGATGTTGATTCTACCAATCCATGAACATGGTATGTTTTTCCATCTGTTTACATCTTCCTCTGTCTCTTTTTTCAGTGTCATGTAGTTTTCCGTGTATAGGTCTTTTACCTCCTTAGTTAAATTTATTACTAGGTATCTTAATTTTTTTCGTGCAGTGGTAAATGGGATTGCTTTTTTAGTCTCTGTTTCTATAAGATCACTATTGGTGTATAGAAATGCCACAGATTTCTTGTCATTAATTTTGTATCCTGTTACATTGCCAAATTCATTTATTAAATCTATTAGTTTTTTGATGGAGTCTTTTTGTTTTTTTTATGCACAATGTCATGTCATCTGCTAATAAGGATAATTTTACTTCTTTTCCAATTTGGATGCCTTTTATTTCTTTTTCCTGTCTAATTGCAATGGCTAGTACTTCCAGTACTATGTCAAACAGGATTGGTGAGAGTGGAATCCCTGTCTTGTTCCTGTTCTTAGAGGGAATGGTTTTAGTTTTTGCCCATTGAGTATGTTTGCTGTGGGTTTATCATATATAGCTTTTATTATGTTGAGGTATGTTCCTTCTATTCCCACCTTGTTGAGAGTTTTTATCGGGAAAGGGTGTTGGATTTTGTTACATGCTTTTTCTGCATCAATTGATATGACTATATGATTTTTATCTCTCAATTTGTTTATGTGATGTATCACATTTACCGATTTGCTGATATTGTATCATCCTTGCATTCCCGGAATAAATCCTACTTGGTCATGGTGTATGATCTTTCTGATGTTCTGCTGGAACTGATTTGCTAGAACTTTGTTGAGGATTTTGGCATCTATGTTCATGAGTGACATTGGCCTGTAACTCTTTTTCATTGTGTTGTCTTTATCTGGTTTTGGTATTAGGATGATGCTGGCTTCATAGAAGGAGTTTGGAAGTTTTCCTTCCTCTTGAGTTTTTTGGAATAGTCTGAGGAGGATAGGTTTTAGTTCTTCATTTGATAAAACTCTCCTGTGAAGCCATCTGGCCCTGGGCTTTTGTTTGCTGGAAACTTTTTGATTACTGTTTCAATTTCTTCCCAAGTCACTGGTCTATTGAGATTTTTAGATTCTTCCTGATTGAGTTTTGGAAGGTTATGTTTTTCTAGGAATATGTCCATTTCTTCGAGATTGTCTAGTTTGTTGGAGTAGAGTTGTTTGTAGTATTTTGTAACAATACTTTGTATTTCTACAGGGTCAGTTGTTATTTCACCTCTTTCGTTTCTGATTATGTTTATTTGGGTCCTCTCTCTTTGTTTCTCAGTGAGCCTGGTTAGAGGTTCATCAATCTTGTTTATCCTTTCAAAGAACCAGCTCTTGGTTTTTGTTTTTGTTTTTTATCTTTTGCATTGTTTCTTTGGTCTCTATGTCATTTATCTGTGCTCTGATTTTTATTTCCTTCCTTCTGCTTATACTGGGCTTTTCTTGTTGCTCTTTTTCTAACTCTTTGAGTTGTAGAGTTAGATAATTTGTTACCATTTTTTCTTGTTTTTTGCAATAGATTTGTAAGGATATGAACTTCCCTCTCAAAACTGCTTTTGCTATGTCCCATAGATTTTGGATTGTTGTGTTTTCATTGTCATTTGTTTCCAGGATGTTTTTAATTTCTTCCTTGATTTCTCTGGTAACCCAGTCCTTGTTTAAAAGTATGCTGTTT